ACTCACACAGAGAGCCATAGACTCACACAGAGAGCCATAGACTACTCACACAGAGAGCCATAAGACTTGCACAGAGAGCCCATAGACTCACAACCCAGAAGAATTGACTCGCACAGAGACGAACAGACTCCATAAATACCCGTAGACTGTCACGACGATCGTGAGAACAACTCCTTAGCCAGCAGGGGCGGGAGCCAGGATTTTGACTTTCTGACACATCCAGTGTGTTCATGTTTTCCAATGGGCGCCGCAAATGTTTAAAAAACACATTTTTTATTGTAAATTGAAGACGGAGTTTATTAATAGGGCGGAGCCGCTGACGTGGCCGATGAGTTCGATAAGTTCCAAAGGCTGCCGCTGAAGCAGCCTGCAGGGCAGCACGAGGTGGCAGCCTGCAGCATTTTGCCAAAATTTCAGGGGGGGCTGAGGCCCCCCCTCCCCCAGTGGCTCCGCCCCCCCCCCATGTGGCTCCGCCCCTATTTGCCAGTACCAACAAATGAAGCAATTGGCGTGACCCCGGGGTCACCATCACACGAGTCTCGCCTTTCCGACAACAAAACTAGTGGTCAGTCGAAATTTTTATTATTACATAAACACGTTAAATTCACCGCCCCGGGGGGGGGCTGGGGGGGGACTGGGGGGGGGGGCTGGGGCGGGGGCTCGGGGGGGGGGGCTCGGGGGGGGGGGCTCGCCTTGGCAAAGAAGCCGAGGACGCCCTCCCCCACCCCGGGGCTTGCGACTCACTCAGAGAGTAGCGCGTTGCCGTCGGGGTCACGGGAGTGGGCCGGACTAAATAATAATAATTAATATTATTATAATAATTATTATTAATAATTATTATAATAATATTTTTATTGACTTGATTTTTGCGGTACCTCGAGAGGGGGGGGGGGGGCCGCCAAATGATTCATTTGGAGAATATCAGAGCACGTTTTTTTGGGTTGTTTGACCGCAAGCGTTCTGGTCAGAATTTCACGCGTGATTCCTTGTTAAAGGTTCTCAGTTTGGTGTTTTTCACACCTGATGACGACCGTTTGTGTTACGGTCGAAACGTCGTGAGAATTTTTTTTATTGTTTCACATATATATTTTATTATTTTATTGTTTCCGTTCAACTGTGACTTTACCGAAAGAGCTAAGAATATGAATCGCTGCAGTCACGAAAGCTTTAAATCAAAATTTTAATCTCAGGGGCCGTTCATAAATGACGTCACGCACCTAGAGGGCGGGTGGGGGCGGGGTCAGACAATTGTGACGATGTGTGACGTGGGGGGGGGAGGGGGGGTTTGAGAAGTGTGACGTCACATCAAAATGCGCAACTTTAAATAAATATAGACAACACGTTCTATTTAATTAAATATAAGTTTTCATAAATGTTTTCCCCTACAACATCAGAGTGCAGCGCCACATTAAATACGCACTACAATGACAATAGTTTAAAGCCATTTGAAGAATATTATATATTTTTTTAGTGGGGGGGGCAGAGCTTTGTGACGTCATATTTGAGGTGGGGGGGGTCTGACTTTTTGTGACGCTGTGTGACGAGGGTGAGGGGGTCAAAATCGTCCAAATCGCGTGACGTCATTTATGGACGGCCCCTTAACACACCTGAGGGAAAAAACCTATTCTCATCTCTTACTGCAACGTTCATCTGCACACGTTCCGCTGTTCACAAGGGGCTCCATCGCCCTCTAGTGGACGAGACGAGACATGCCGCCTCTGTCTTACCCTGCCCCAGATGTGGGTCTCTATGCGTCTCTGTGTGTCTCTATGGGTCTCTGTGTGTCTCTATGGGTCTCTGTGTGTCTCTATGGGTCTGTGTGTGTCTCTATGGGTCTCTGTGTCTCTATGGGTCTCTGTGTGTCTCTATGGGTCTCTGTGGGTCTATGTGTGTCTCTGTGGGTATATGTGTGTCTCTGTGTGTCTCTATGGGTCTCTGTGTGTCTCTATGGGTCTGTGTGTCTCTATAGGTCTCTGTGGGTCTATGTGTGTCTCTATGGGTCTCTGTGTGTCTCTATGGGTCTCTGTGTGTCTCTATGGGTCTCTGTGTGTCTCAATGGGTCTCTGTGTGTCTCTATGGGTCTCTGTGTGTCTCTATGAGTCTATGTGTGTCTCTATGGGTCTATGTGTGTCTCTATGGGTCTCTGTGTGTCTCTATGGGTCTCTGTGTGTCTCTATGGGTCTATGTGTGTCTCTATGGGTCTCTGTGTCTCTATGGGTCTCTGTGGGTCTATGTGTGTCTCTGTGGGTCTATGTGTGTCTCTGTGTGTCTCTATGGGTCTCTGTGAGTCTCTATGGGTCTCTGTGTGTCTCTATGGGTCTCTGTGTGTCTCTATGGGTCTCTGTGGGTCTATGTGTGTCTCTGTGGGTCTATGTGTGTCTCTGTGTGTCTCTATGGGTCTCTGTGAGTCTCTATGGGTCTCTGTGTGTCTCTATGGGTCTCTGTGTGTCTCTATGGGTCTCTGTATGTCTCTATGGGTCTATGTGTGTCTCTATGGGTCTATGTGTGTTTCTATGTGTCTCTGTGTGTCTCTATGTGTCTCTGTGTGTCTCTATGGGTCTCTGTGTGTCTCTATAGGTCTGTGTGTGTCTCTATGGGTCTCTGTGCGTCTCTATGGGTCTCTGTGTGTCTCTATTGGTCTCTGTGTGTCTCTATGGGTCTCTGTGTGTCTCTATGGGTCTATGTGTGTCTCTATGGGTCTCTGTGTGTCTCTATGGGTCTATGTGTGTCTCTATGGGTCGATGTGTGTCTCTATGGGTCTCTGTGGGTCTCTATGCGTCTCTGTGTCTCTATGGGTCTCTGTGTGTCTCTATGAGTCTATGTGTGCCTCTATGGGTCTGTGTGTCTCTATGGGTCTCTGTGGGTCTATGTGTGTCTCTGTGTGTCTCTATGGGTCTCTGTGTGTCTCTATGGGTCTCTGTGTGTCTCTGTGTGTCTCTATGGGTCTCTGTGTGTCTCTATAGGTCTCTGTGTGTCTCTATGCGTCTATGTGTGTCTCTATGGGTCTGTGTGTCTCTATGGGTCTATGTGTGTCTCTATGCGTCTCTGTGTGTCTCTATGGGTCTCTGTGTGTCTCTATTGGTCTCTGTGTGTCTCCATGGGTCTCTGTGTGTCTATGTGTGTCTCTCTGTGTCTCTGTGTCTATATGTGTCTCTCTGTGTCTTTGTGTATCTCTATGTGTCTCTGTGTGTCTATGTGTGTCTCTATGTGTCTCTATGCGTCTCTGTGTCTCTATGTGTCTCTGTGTGTCTCTGTGTGTCTATGTGTCTCTGTGTGTCTCTCTGTCCCTATGTGTCTCTATGTGTCTCTGTGTATCTCTATGTGTCTCTGTGTGTCTCTGTGTATTTGGCTGCTGCTATAACTTTCCACGCAACGACGATGATGATAATGGTGATGGTGATGACGGTGGTGACAATGATGATGGTGATGACGATGGTGGTGATGATGATAGTGGTGGTGATGGTGATGATGAAAGTGGTGGTGATGGTGATGATAGTGGTGGTGATGGTGATGATGGTGGTGATGACGATGGTGATGATGGTGGTGGTGCTGGTGATGATGGTGGTGCTGGTGATGATGGTGGTGATGATGACGATGGTGATGATGATGGTGGTGATGGTGATGGCCTGCCCAGTTCAAAGACGAGACGATGTCAGACCACGCAGACAATCACGTCACTCACCACCACTACAACAACTACACCACCACTACAACAACAACTACTACACCACCACTACATCAACTACACCACTACAACACCACCACACCACCACTACTACATCAACAATAACACCACCACTACAACAACTACACCACCACTACAACTACACCACCACTACAACAACTACACCACCACTACAACTACACCATCACGCCCACTACACCACCACCACACCACTACTACAACTACAACCACCACCACTACACCTCCACTACAACTACACCATCACGCCCACCACACCACCACCACTACACAACTACTACAACTACACCACCACTACTACAACTACACCACCACTACACCACCACTACAACAACTACATCACCACTACACCACCACCACTAATACAACTACACCACCACTACTACAACTACACCACCACTACAACAACTACACCACCACTACACCACCACCACTACTACAACTACACCACCACCACCACCACTACAACTACACCATCACGCCCACTACACCACCACCACACCACCACCACTACTACAACTACATCACCACCACTACACCTCCACTACAACTACACCATCACGCCCACTACACCACCACCACACCACCATCACCACACCACTACAACTACACCACCACCACTACAACTACACCACCACTACCCCACCACTACAACTAAACCATCACGCCCACCACACCACCACCACTACAACTACACCACCACCACCACTACTACAACTACACCACCACTATAACAACTACATCACCACTACACCACCACCACCACTCCACCACCACCACCACTCCACCACCACCACTACAACTACACCACCACCACCACTACACCTCCACTACAACTACACCATCACCACGCCCACCACACCATCACCACGCCCACCACACCACCATCACCACGCCCACGAGGTTGTTATTTCCCCCACAGGAAGTGATCCTATGGGGAACTGGTGGTGGTGGTGTTAGCGAGCACCTATTACACACACAGACACACACACACATAGACACACACACATAGACACACACACATAGACACACACACATAGACACACACACATAGACACACACACATAGACACACACACACAAAAACAAACAAAGATCCCCCGTATAGCCTGTAACAGACTGTAGGGGCAAGTGCTGTTAGCGAGCACCTATGAAGGCCGGAACGGTACACGAGGGGGTGGGTGGCCAGCACCACGCCCGACCGCCTTTGTCTCCCTAGTGGCAATGTTTACACACCGCACCAGGTACTCATTTGAGGCTGAGTCGACCTAGGGGAGGCCCGGGACCGGTTCAGATAATCGTCACTGGTGTTGGCCGTGAGCGGGAATCGAACCCGGGTCGCCAGGTTCGTAGCGCAGCGCGCTAACCGCTACACTACACACACAGACACACAGACATACACATATAGACACACACGTACACATAGACATACACACATAGACACACACGTAGACACATACACAGACACGTACAGTAGACACACAGACACACGTAGACACATACACACGTACAGTAGACACACACACATAGACAGACACGCACTGTACACACACACAAATACACGCTGACGTACTGTACACTGTAACACAAAGCTCACCCGGACAGTCTACAAAGACAGTGGGGGCAAGTGCAGTGAGCGTGCAACTAGCACGCACTGTACACCACTCATTGCACACAGACACACCGCGCGCACTGTACACACCGCGCACACTGTACACACCGCGCACACTGTACACTGTACACCGGCTGCTCGCTACTAACAGCACTTGCCCCGACAGTCTGTCGAGGCTACACGGGGGACCTTTGCCTGTGTGATGGACCCTGCCCGGGTGTTCAACTGGGGCCTCTTAGTCAGAAGTCTCCACACGTTGCTCACCTGTGCCGTGCTCCTCGTCCTACTCACTCACCACACAGGTGAGAGCACGGGTGGGTGAGTGGTGAGTGTGGGTGAGTGTGGTGAGTGTGGGTGAGTGTGGGTGAGTGTGGTGAGTGTGGTGAGTGTGGTGAGTGGTGAGTGTGGGTGAGTGTGGTGAGTGGTGAGTGTGGGTGAGTGTGGTGAGTGGTGAGTGTGGGTGAGTGTGGTGAGTAGTGAGTGTGGGTGAGTGGTGAGTATGGGTGAGTGTGGTGGGTGTGGTGAGTGTGGGTGAGTGTGGTGAGTGGTGAGTGTGGTGAGTGGTGAGTGTGGTGGGTGTGGTGAGTGTGGTGAGTGGTGAGTGTGGTGAGTGGTGAGTGTGGGTGAGTGTGGGTGAGTGGTGAGTGTGGGTGAGTGGTGAGTGTGGGTGAGTGAGTGGTGAGTGTGGTAAGTGTGGTGGGTGGTGAGTGTGGTGAGTGTGGGTGAGTGGTGAGTGTGGAGAGTGTGGGTGAGTGGTGAGTGTGGGTGAGTGTGGTGGGTGGTGAGTGGTGAGTGTGGTGGGTGTGGTGAGTAGTGTGGTTAGTGGTGAGTGTGGTGAGTGTGTCTGCTTGTGTCTCCACGTGTGTCTCCACGTGTGTGTTTGTGTGTGTCTCCACGTGTGTCTCCACGTGTGTCTCCACGTGTGTGTCTGTGTGTGTCTCCACGTGTCTCCACGTGTTTGTCTCCACGTGTGTCTGTGTGTGTCTGTGTGTGTCTCCACGTGTGTCTGTGTGTGTCTGTGTGTGTCTCCACGTGTGTCTGTGTGTGTCTGTGTGTGTCTGTGTGTGTCTCCACGTGTGTCTGTGTGTGTCTGTGTGTGTCTGTGTGTGTCTCCACGTGTGTCTGTGTGTGTCTGTGTGTGTCTCCACGTGTGTCTGTGTGTGTCTGTGTGTGTCTGTGTGTGTCTCCACGTGTGTCTGTGTGTGTCTGTGTGTGTCTCCACGTGTGTCCGCGTGTGTCCCCACCTCTGCCACAGACCTAACCCGCCACTACACCCGCGGGGAGTTCTCCACCACTCTGGGGTTCTCCTCCCTGGCCGCTGCCTCCCTCGCACTCTACCTCCGGGTGTCCCTCATGGACCCCGGATTCGTCCCTCTCGACGCGGTGAGGACACACACACACAGTCACACACACACACAGTCACACACAGACACACACACAGACACACACACAGACACACACACACAGACACACACACAGTCACACACACAGTCACACACAGATACACACACACAGTCACACACAGATACACACACACAGTCATACACAGACACACACACAGACACACACACAGTCACACAGACACACACATACAACAACAACAACAACCGCCATTCGCCACTAAGTGGCGGTGACGTCACCACGACGCTTGTGCCAGGCCATGTGCACCCTGAGGCCACGTGAAGTGTCGAACACCCGCTGGCAGGAGGTCACGAGGCAGACCCAGGTGCCACGGGTCGACTGACTGAGATGACTGGCTGGTGCACCACCTGTGCCCCCTACTGTGCCAACCTGCTGTACTTTAGCCACCCGGCGCTCCGCTCGTTGTTCTGAGCGTCGCTCCTCCGCCCTCCGTTGTTGTTGGAGGGCGACTGCCTCCAACTGCCCAGTAGCATCCTTCACGAGCCTCCTCCACAGAGGCCGATCTTGACACCGCTGGTACCAGTCATCGGCAAGTCCACTCAGCTCCACGTCCTCCTGTACCACATCACTCCATCTCTTCTCTAGCCCGTGCCGCGCCCGCTTAGCCCCCTCAATCCGGCCAAACAAAAGCTGTTTCGGCATGCGGTGGCTGGGCATGCGGGCTACATGACCCAGCCATCACAGCCTTGCCCGCCGGAGGAGCTCACCGATGGGACCCTGCCCAGATCTTTCAAGGATTTGTGAGCTCTTCACACAATCCAGTCTGGTTAAACCCAGGATGGATCGTAGGCAGGCCAGCCTAAATGTTTCTAACCGGCGAAGATGTTCCATTAGGGGGGTCCACGTTTCGCAAGCGTAGAGAAGGGAGGGAATGACCGTGGCCGAGAAGACCTGAAGCTTAGTGCGGAGCGACAGACCAGGTAGCTTCCACACAGCGTTACGCAACCGATGAAAAGATGTTGCCGCTCGACTGATTCGGGTTGAGACCTCTGCTGTTAAACTGGAGCCAGCCACATACATACACACACAGACACACACACACAGACACACACAGTCACACACAGACATACACAGTCACACACAGACACACACACACAGACACACACACAGTCACACACACACAGACACACACAGACACACACACACAGTCACACACAGACACAGACACACACAGTCACGCACACAGACACACACACAGACAACAACTGCCATTCGCCACTAAGTGGCGGTGACATCACCACGACGCTTGTGCCAGGCTATGTGCACCCTGAGGCCACGTGAAGTGTCGAACGCCCGCTGGCAGGAGGTCACGGGCAGACCCAGGTGCCACGGGTCGACTGACTGAGATTACTGGCTGATGCACCACCTGTGCCTCCTACTGTGGCAACCTGCTGTGCTTTAGCCACCCGGCGCTCCGCTCGTTGTTGTGAGCGTCGCTCCTCCGCCCTCCGTTGTTGTTGGAGGAGGAGGGCGACTGCCTCCAACTGCCCAGTAGCGTCCTTCACGAGCCTCCTCCACAGAGGCCGATCTTGACACCGCTGGTACCAGTCATCGGCAAGTCCACTCAGCTCCACGTCCTCCTGTACCACATCACACCATCTCTTCTCTAGCCCGTACCGCGCCCGCTTAGCCCCCTCAATCCGGCCGAACAAAAGCTGTTTCGGCATGCGGTGGCTGGGCATGCGGGCTACATGACCCATCCAATGCAGCCTTGCCTGCCGGAGGAGCTCACCGATGGGACCCTGCCCAGATCTTTCAAGGATTTGTGAGCTCCTCACACAATCCAGTCTGGTTAAACCCAGGATGGATGGAAGGCAGGCCAGCCTAAATGTTTCTAACCGGCGAAGATGTTCCATTAGGGGGGTCCACGTTTCGCAAGCGTAGAGAAGGGAGGGAATGACCGTGGCCGAGAAGACCTGAAGCTTAGTGCGGAGCGACAGACCAGGTAGCTTCCACACAGCGTTACGCAACTGATGAAAATATATTGCCGCTCGACTGATTCGGAGTGAGACCTCTGCTGTTAAACTGGAGCCGGTCATAAGCACACTGCCCAGGTATGGGAAACTCTCCACTTGCTCCACAACTGCCCCATCACCGATTGGGAGTTGTGGGGGTGTAGTGTCCGATGGTACAAAATACCCAGGCAGGTGCTTAGTTTTGATGGGGCTGATGGTAAGGCCCCACCTCTTAGTGGCACGCTCCAGTCTCAGCAGCAGCGTCTCCAACTCCTCCTCTGACTGAGCAGCTATTACCAAATAATCAGCATACATAACGTGGTTGAGCAATAGGGAGCCATCCCTTGACCGCACCCGGGCATCGATCAGCCTCCCATTATATCTGTACCATATGGAGATTCCCCCGGTACAGCTATTGAAGGCTTCACGAACTACGTGGTCAAAATAGATGTTAAATAATGTGGGAGCCAGAGGACATCCCTGTCGCACCCCAAGGTGTACAGGGAATGGATCTGACTCCCGACCACGTAGTTTTACCCGGGCCCGCTCACCATCATGAAGGTCCTTAATGATCGTGAGCAGAGGGTCAGGTACTCCAAAAGCACGAAGAACAACCCAGAGCCCAGGCCTACTGATGGTATCATAGGCCTTGACCAGGTCAATAAAGCAGAGATGTAGGTCTTGTTGGAATTCCCTACACCTCTGCTGTAGCAGACGGACAGAAAATATGGCATCTGTGCAGGACCGCCCTTTCCTGAAACCGCATTGGGGCTCCGCAAGCCTCTCCTCAGCGTGCCTGGCAAGGCGATGTTGAATAATCCTTGCCAGGACGTTTCCCGGCACACTGAGGAGTGAGATGCCCCTGTAGTTATTACAGTCTGTGCGGTCCCCCTTCTTAAAAGGGGGACCACCAGGGCATCCTTCTAATCCTGCGGAACCCGTCCAGTGGTCCAGACTGTTGTTATGATGTCATATAGGGCAGCCTGTGCACAAACGCCACCCTCCCTCAGCATTTCGCTTGGGAGATCATCTCAGACACACACACACACAGAGACACACACACACAGAGACACACACACACACAGTCACACACACAGATACACACACACATACACACACCACCCCCTCTGTGTGTGCCACAGTGCCGGTAGCCTTCATAGGGCGCTGCTGCTACTCGCTAACAGCACTTGCCCCTACAGCCTGTTAGAGGCTACACGGGGGATCTTTGTCTGTGTCTGTGTGTGTGGTGCTAGCTAACAACACTTGCCCCTACAGCCTGTTAGAGGCTACACGGGGAATCTTTGTCTGTGTCTGTGTGTGAGGTACTCGCTAACAGCACTTGCCCCTACAGTCTGTTAGAGGCTACACGGGGGATCTTTGTATTTGTACACAGGTGGAAGAGCAGGAGATGGGCGACGTGGAGAGGATGAGGAAGAAGAGGTGGAAGAGGCGTCTGTGTGGATACTGCGAGGTGGAGGTGACGACTCTGCCGTTGAACACCCCTCAAGGCGTGGGGAGGATGTTGGCCGCTGACATAGATTGTCCACGTGGTGGTGGTGATTGCCCACGTGGTAGTGGTGGTGGTGATTGTCCACGTGGTGGTGATTGTCCACGTGGTGGTGATTGTCCACGTGGTGGTGGTGGTGATTGTCCACGTGGTGGTGGTGATTGCCCACGTGGTAGTGGTGGTGGTGATTCTCCACGTGGTGGTGGTGATTGTCCACGTGGTGGTGGTGGTGATTGTCCACGTGGTGGTGGTGGTGGTGATTGTCCACGTGGTGGTGGTGGTGATTGTCCACGTGGTAGTGGTGGTGATTGTCCACGTGGTGGTGGTGATTGTCCACGTGGTGGTGGTGGTGATTGTCCACGTGGTGGTGGTGGTGGTGGTGATTGTCCACGTGGTAGTGATTGTCCACGTGGTGGTGATTGTCCACGTGGTGGTGGTGGTGATTGTCCACGTGGTGGTGGTGGTTGCCCACGTGGGAGTGGTGGTGGTGATTGTCCACGTGGTGGTGATTGTCCACGTGGTGGTGATTGTCCACGTGGTGGTGGTGGTGATTGTCCACGTGGTGGTGGTGATTGCCCACGTGGTAGTGGTGATTGTCCACGTGGTGGTGGTGATTCTCCACGTGGTGGTGGTGATTCTCCACGTGGTGGTGGTGGTGATTGTCCACGTGGTAGTGGTGGTGGTGATTGTCCACGTGGTGGTGGTGGTGGTGATTGTCCACGTGGTGGTGATTGTCCACGTGGTGGTGGTGATTGTCCACGTGGTGGTGGTGATTGCCCACGTGGTAGTGGTGGTGGTGATTGTCCACGTGGTGGTGATTGTCCACGTGGTGGTGATTGTCCACGTGGTGGTGGTGGTGATTGTCCACGTGGTGGTGGTGATTGCCCACGTGGTAGTGGTGGTGGTGATTCTCCACGTGGTGGTGGTGATTGTCCACGTGGTGGTGGTGGTGGTGATTGTCCACGTGGTGGTGGTGGTGATTGTCCACGTGGTGGTGGTGGTGGTGATTGTCCACGTGGTGGTGGTGGTGATTGTCCACGTGGTAGTGGTGGTGATTGTCCACGTGGTGGTGGTGATTGTCCACGTGGTGGTGGTGGTGGTGATTGTCCACGTGGTGGTGGTGGTGGTGATTGTCCACGTGGTAGTGATTGTCCACGTGGTGGTGATTGTCCACGTGGTGGTGGTGGTGATTGTCCACGTGGTGGTGGTGATTGCCCACGTGGTAGTGGTGGTGGTGATTGTCCACGTGGTGGTGATTGTCCACGTGGTGGTGATTGTCCACGTGGTGGTGGTGGTGATTGTCCACGTGGTGGTGGTGATTGCCCACGTGGTAGTGGTGATTGTCCACGTGGTGGTGGTGATTCTCCACGTGGTGGTGGTGATTCTCCACGTGGTGGTGGTGGTGATTGTCCACGTGGTAGTGGTGGTGGTGATTGTCCACGTGGTGGTGGTGGTGGTGATTGTCCACGTGGTGGTGATTGTCCACGTGGTGGTGGTGATTGTCCACGTGGTGGTGGTGATTGCCCACGTGGTAGTGGTGGTGGTGATTGTCCACGTGGTGGTGATTGTCCACGTGGTGGTGATTGTCCACGTGGTGGTGGTGGTGATTGTCCACGTGGTGGTGGTGATTGCCCACGTGGTAGTGGTGGTGGTGATTCTCCACGTGGTGGTGGTGATTGTCCACGTGGTGGTGGTGGTGGTGATTGTCCACGTGGTGGTGGTGGTGATTGTCCACGTGGTGGTGGTGGTGGTGATTGTCCACGTGGTGGTGGTGGTGATTGTCCACGTGGTAGTGGTGGTGATTGTCCACGTGGTGGTGGTGATTGTCCACGTGGTGGTGGTGGTGGTGATTGTCCACGTGGTGGTGGTGGTGGTGGTGATTGTCCACGTGGTAGTGATTGTCCACGTGGTGGTGATTGTCCACGTGGTGGTGGTGATTCTCCACGTGGTGGTGGTGGTGATTGTCCACGTGGTAGTGGTGGTGGTGATTGTCCACGTGGTGGTGGTGGTGGTGATTGTCCACGTGGTGGTGATTGTCCACGTGGTGGTGGTGATTGTCCACGTGGTGGTGGTGATTGCCCACGTGGTAGTGGTGGTGGTGATTGTCCACGTGGTGGTGATTGTCCACGTGGTGGTGATTGTCCACGTGGTGGTGGTGGTGATTGTCCACGTGGTGGTGGTGATTGCCCACGTGGTAGTGGTGGTGGTGATTCTCCACGTGGTGGTGGTGATTGTCCACGTGGTGGTGGTGGTGATTGTCCACGTGGTGGTGGTGGTGATTGTCCACGTGGTGGTGGTGGTGATTGTCCACGTGGTGGTGGTGGTGATTGTCCACGTGGTAGTGGTGGTGATTGTCCACGTGGTGGTGGTGATTGTCCACGTGGTGGTGGTGGTGGTGATTGTCCACGTGGTGGTGGTGGTGGTGGTGATTGTCCACGTGGTAGTGATTGTCCACGTGGTGGTGATTGTCCACGTGGTGGTGGTGGTGATTGTCCACGTGGTGGTGGTGATTGCCCACGTGGTAGTGGTGGTGGTGATTGTCCACGTGGTGGTGATTGTCCACGTGGTGGTGATTGTCCACGTGGTGGTGGTGGTGATTGTCCACGTGGTGGTGGTGATTGCCCACGTGGTAGTGGTGATTGTCCACGTGGTGGTGGTGATTCTCCACGTGGTGGTGGTGATTCTCCACGTGGTGGTGGTGGTGATTGTCCACGTGGTAGTGGTGGTGGTGATTGTCCACGTGGTGGTGGTGGTGGTGATTGTCCACGTGGTGGTGGTGGTGATTGTCCACGTGGTGGTGGTGATTGTCCACGTGGTGGTGGTGGTGATTGTCCACGTGGTGGTGGTGATTGTCCACGTGGTGGTGGTGGTGGTGGTGATTGCCCACGTGGTGGTGGTGATTGTCCACGTGGTGGTGATTGTGCACGTGGTGGTGGTGATTGCCCACGTGGTGGTGGTGGTGGTGATTGTCCACGTGTTGGTGGTGGTGATTGCCCACGTGGTGGTGGTGGTGGTGATTGTCCACGTGGTGGTGGTGGTGATTGTCCACGTGGTGGTGGTGATTGTCCACGTGGTGGTGGTGATTACCCACGTGGTGGTGGTGGTGATTGTCCACGTGGTGGTGGTGATTGTCCACGTGGTGGTGGTGATTGTCCACGTGGTGGTGATTACCCACGTGGTGGTGGTGGTGATTGTCCACGTGGTGGTGGTGATTGTGCACGTGGTGGTGGTGATTGTCCACGTGGTGGTGGTGATTGTCCACGTGGTGGTGGTGGTGATTACCCACGTGGTGGTGGTGGTGATTGTCCACGTGGTGGTGGTGGTGGTGATTGTCCACGTGGTGGTGGTGATTGTCCACGTGGTGGTGGTGGTGGTGATTGCCCACGTGGTGGTGGTGTTGATGATGATGATGGTGACAAGACGCTTGCTCGAGCGGCTGTTATTTGCGATGGCCGGGTCAGGGCTGTGCCGAGCGCTACGCTGCACCACCAACCCCGGCGACCCGAGTTCGAATCCCGCTCACGGCCACCGCCACGACCACCACCGCCGCCACCACCGCCACCGCCCAGTGACGGCGATTATCTGAAGCGGTCCCTGTGCCTCCTCCCCTAGGTCGACTCGGCCTCAAATGAGTCGCCCGGTGCCGCGTGTGTTAGTTAGCATCGCCGCTCGGGGTCCCGGCCACACCACCCCGCTCTGTGTGTGCCACAGTTGCCGGTAGCCTTCGTAGCCGCTTACTGACAGCACTTGCCCCGACGGTCTGTCGGAGGCTACACGGGGGGGGGGGGGGGGGACCTTTGTCTTTGGTGTCCGCAGCAACTGGTGCTGGCACTCGGCAGCTTGTGGGTTTGCCGGTTTCTGGACGAGGTTCGTAAAGCGTTAACGGGACAGCCGCTGTCCCACAGAAGCCGCTGCGAGCCAAGCACTGCCGGGAGTGCCGGCGCTGCGTCCGGTGCTTCGACCACCACTGCCCCTGGGTGGGGAACTGCGTGGGGGAGCTGAACCTGGGCCCCTTCCTGGGCTTCCTCACCACGCAGCTCGCCGGCCTCCTCTGGGCCTTCGTGCTGGCAAGGTTGGGGCACGTGGCGGCGGCGGTGTAGTCACCACCACCATCGCTGTCACCACCACCATCATCACCACCACCACCACCACTATCATCACCACCACCGTCACTATCATCACTACCCCCACCACTATCATCACCACCACCACCACCACCACTGTCACCACCATCACCACCACCACTATCATCACCACCACCACCACTATCATCACCACCGCCGTCACTGTCACCACCACCAGCATCACCACCACCACCACCACTATCATCACCACCACCACCACTGTCACCACCATCACCACCACCACCACCACTATCATCACCACCACCACTATCATCACCACCACCACTATCATCACCACCACCGTCACTATCATCACCACCACCGTCACTATCATCACCACCACCGTCACTGTCACCACCACCAGCATCACCACAACCATCGCCACCACCACTACCCCCACCACTATCATCACCACCACCACCACTATCATCACCACCACCACCACCATCATCATCACCACCACCACCATCATCACCACCACCACTAACATCACCACTACCACAACCACCGTCGTCGTCACCACTACCGTCTTCACCGTCACCACCATCGTTATCACCCCCCCACCGTCACCACCACCACCGTCACCACCACCGTCACCACCACCACCACCATCACCACCGCCACCACCACCATCATTATCACCACCATCACCACCACCACCACCGTCACCACCACCGTCACCACCGTCACCACCACCACCACTGTCACCACCACCACAACCACCACCACGCTCACCACCCCCCTTCGCCCCCCCCCCCCAGGTCCGCCGTGGTCTCCGTGCCCGGCTGGCTCCCGTGGCTCTCGGCCAACGCGGCGCCGTTGGCGGTGGCGCTGCTGACGGGCGCCGCCGCCCCGGCGGTGGCGCTGCTGCTGGGCTGCCACGCGGTCCTCGCCGCCGCCGGCCTCACCACCCGGGAGTTCGTGGCGCGCGAGCGCATCGGCTACCTGCGGCCGCCGCCGGCGGACGCGGCCGCCGAAGCCGCCGAAGCCGCCAACCCCTTCGACCGCGGCTGCGCTCGCAACCTGTCGGAGCTGCTGTGCCGCCGGGGCTGGGGGGCGGCGGCGCCGGTCGACTGGGAGGAGCGGCTGCCGGCGGGGGGTGGGGACGGCGAGCCGGAGCTCGGCACGGTGTAGTCACGTGGTGGTGGTGGTGGTGGCGGTGGGGGTGGTGACGGTGACGGTGGTGGTGGTGATGGTGGTGGTGACGGTGGTGGTGGTGGTGGTGACGGTGACGGTGGTGGTGGTGGTGGTGGTGGTGACGGTGACGGTGGTGGTGGTGGTGGTGGTGGTGACGGTGACGGTGGTGGTGGTGGTGGTGACGGTGGTGGCGGTGGTGACGGTGACGGTGGTGGTGGTGGTGATAATGATGGTGGTGGCGGTGGTGGTGGTGGTGGTGGTGGTGGCGGTGGTGGTGGTGGTGGTGGTGGCGGTGACGGTGGTGGTGGTGGTGGCAGCTGGCGATGGCTGCAGTGGTGGTAGTCGATGGCGGTGACGTTGGTGGCAGTGGTACTGGCGGCGGCGGCAGCGGTGACGGTCATGATGGTAGCGATGGCGGTGATGGTGGTGATGGCGGTGATGGCGATGTTGGCAGGCGGTAGCGATGGCGGTGATGGCGGTGATGGCGGTGATGGCGATGTTGGCAGGCGGTAGCGATGGCGGTGATGGCAGTGATGGCGGTGATGGCAGGCGACGACGTTGGTGGCGACGTTGGTGGCAGGCGGTAGCGATGGCGGCGATGGCAGCGATGTTGGCAGGCGGCGACGGCGTGCGGAGGACGCAACAAGAACCTTGCAGGGCTGCGCCTTTGCCCGGCTATATTCCACACCGCAGTTGGCAGCGCCGGCGAGGCCTCTGGATTTCGGTGACAGCCACGGCCGGGGCAAGAGTCTTCAGATGCGTCGAGAGACGAGTGGAGTGGTGGTTTGTGTTTGACCAATTGACCTCGAGTCGAATGCGTGTGTAGATTTTGCAGGGGTATGAATAAATGTTTTGATTTAATTAAATTAAATGCAAAGTGTATTATACGCCCTTTCCTGTACCGCCCTCCTACGTGAAGGGAGTGAGATTGAACAGATGGAGATTAGTCCACACACACGGCTAGAAGGGAGTGAGATGGAACAGATGGAGATTAGTCCACACACGGGTAGAAGGGAGTGAGATGGAACAGATGGAGATTAGTCCACACACGTGGTAGAAGGGAGTGAGATGGAACAGATGGAGATTAGTCCACACATGGTGTAGAAGGGAGTGAGATGGAACAGATGGAGATTAGTCCACACACACGGGTAGAAGGGAGTGAGATGGAACAGATGGAAATTAGTCCACACATGGTGTAGAAGGGAGTGAGATGGAACAGATGGAGATTAGTCCACACACGGGTAGAAGGGAGTGAGATGGAACAGATGGAGATTAGTCCACCCACGGTGTAGAAGGGAGTGAGATGGAACAGATGGAGATTAGTCCACACACGGCTAGAAGGGAGTGAGATGGAACAGATGGAGATTAGTCCACACACGTGGTAGAAGGGAGTGAGATGGAACAGATGGAGATTAGTCCACCCACGGGTAGAAGGGAGTGAGATGGAACAGATGGAGATTAGTCCACACACGGTGTAGAAGGGAGTGAGATGGAACAGATGGAGATTAGTCCACACACGGTGTAGAAGGGAGTGAGATGGAACAGATGGAGATTAGTCCACACACGGTGTAGAAGGGAGTGAGATGGAACAGATGGAGATTAGTCCACCCACGGTGTAGAAGGGAGTGAGATGGAACAGATGGAGATTAGTCCACATGGTGTAGAAGGGAGTGAGATGGAACAGATGTAGATTAGTCCACACACAGTGTAGAAGGGAGTGAGATGGAACAGATGGAGATTAGTCCACACACGGTGTAGAAGGGAGTGAGATGGAACAGATGGAGATTAGTCCACACGGTGTAGAAGGGAGAGAGATGGAACAGATGGAGATTAGTCCACACGCACGGTGTAGAAGGGAGTGAGATGGAACAGATGGAGATTAGTCCACACGGTGTAGAAGGGAGTGAGATGGAACAGATGGAGATTAGTCCACCCACGGGTAGAAGGGAGTGAGATGGAACAGATGGAGATTAGTCCACCCACGTGGTAGAAGGGAGTGAGATGGGACAGATTGAGATTAGTCCACACACGTTGTAGAAGGGAGATGGAACAGATGGAGATTAGTCCACACACGGGTAGAAGGGAGTGAGATGGAACAGATGGAGATTAGTCCACACACGGGTAGAAGGGAATGAGATGGAACAGATGGAGATTAGTCCACACACACGGTGTAGAAGGGAGTGAGATGGAACAGATGGAGATTAGTCCACACATGGTGTAGAAGGGAGTGAGATGGAACAGATGGAGATTAGTCCACACACGGTGTAGAAGGGAGTGAGATGGAACAGATGGAGATTAGTCCACACACGTTGTAGAAGGGAGATGGAACAGATGGAGATTAGTCCACACACGGGTAGAAGGGAGTGAGATGGAACAGATGGAGATTAGTCCACACACGGGTAGAAGGGAATGAGATGGAATAGATGGAGATTAGTCCACACACGGTGTAGAAGGGAGTGAGATGGAACAGATGGAGATTAGTCCACACACGCTGTAGAAGGGAGTGAGATGAAACAGATGGAGATTAGTCCACACACACGGATAGAAGGGAGTGAGATGGAACAGATGGAGATTAGTCCACACACGGGTAGAAGGGAGTGAGATGGAACAGATGGAGATTAGTCCACACACGGGTAGAAGGGAGTGAGATGGAACAGATGGAGATTAGTCCACACACGGGTAGAAGGGAGTGAGATGGAACAGATGGAGATTAGCCCACACACGGTGTAGAAGGGAGTGAGATGGAACAGATGGAGATTAGTCCACCCACGGGTAGAATGGAGTGAGATGGAACAGATGGAGATTAGTCCACCCACGGTGTAGAAGGGAGTGAGATGGAACAGATGGAGATTAGTCCACACACGGTGTAAAAGGGAGTGAGATGGAACAGATGGAGATTAGTCCACCCACGGGTAGAAGGAAGTGAGATGGAACAGATGGAGATTAGTCCACACACAGTGTAGAAGGGAGTGAGATGGAACAGATGGAGATTAGTCCACCCACGGTGTAGAAGGGAGTGAGATGGAACAGATGGAGATTAGTCCACACACGGTGTAGAAGGGAGTGAGATGGAACAGATGGAGATTAGTCCACACACGGTGTAGAAGGGAGTGAGATGGAACAGATGGAGATTAGTCCACACACGGTGTAGAAGGGAGAGAGATGGAACAGATGGAGATTAGTCCACACACGGTGTAGAAGGGAGGAGATGGAACAGATGGAGATTAGTCCACACACGGGTAGAAGGGAAATGAGGTGGACCAGATGGAGATTATTCCACGCACGGTGTAGAAGGGAGTGAGATGGAAAAGATGGAGATTAGTCCACACACAGTGTAGAAGGGAGTGAGATGGAACAGATGGAGATTAGTCCACCCACGGTGTAGAAGGGAGTGAGATGGAACAGATGGAGATTAGTCCACACACGGTGTAGAAGGGAGTGAGATGGAACAGATGGAGATTAGTCCACCCACGGTGTAGAAGGGAGTGAGATGGAACAGATGGAGATTAGTCCACACACGTGGTAGAACGGAGTGAGATGGAACAGATGGAGATTAGTCCACACACGGTGTAGAAGGGAGTGAGATGGAACAGATGGAGATTAGTCCACACACAGTGTAGAAGGGAATGAGATGGAACAGATGGAGATTAGTCCACACACGGTGTAGAAGGCAGTGGGATGGAACAGATGGAGATTAGTCCACACACGGTGTAGAAGGGAGTGAGATGGAACAGATGGAGATTAGTCCACACACGGTGTAGAAGGGAGTGAGATGGAACAGATGGAGATTAGTCCACACACGGTGTAGAAGGGAGTGAGATGGAACAGATGGAGATTAGTCCACACACGGTGTAGAAGGGAGCGAGATGGAACAGATGGAGATTAGTCCACACACGGTGTAGAAGGGAGTGAGATGGAACAGATGGAGATTAGTCCACACATGGTGTAGAAGGGAGCGAGATGGAACAGATGGAGATTAGTCCACACACGGTGTAGAAGGCAGTGGGATGGAACAGATGGAGATTAGTCCACACACGGTGTAGAAGGGAGTGAGATGGAACAGATGGAGATTAGTCCACACACGGGTAGAAAGGAGTGAGATGGAACAGATGGAGATTAGTCCACACACGGGTAGAAGGGAGATGGAACAGATGGAGATTACTCCACACGGGTAGAAGGGAGTGAGATGGAACAGATGGAGATTAGTCCACCCACGGGTAGAAGGGAGTAAGATGGAACAGATGGAGATTAGTCCACCCACGGGTAGAAGGGAGTGAGATGGAACAGATGGAGATTAGTCCACACAGGGGGTAGAAGGGAGTGAGATGGAACAGATGGAGATTAGTCCACCCACGGGTAGAAGGGAGTGAGATGGAACAGATGGAGATTAGTCCACACAGGGGATAGAAGGGAGTGAGATGGAACAGATGGAGATTAGTCCACCCACGGGTAGAAGGGAGTGAGATGGAACAGATGGAGATTAGTCCACCCACGTGGTAGAAGGGAGTGAGATGGAACAGATGGAGATTAGTCCACACACGGTGTAGAATGGAGTGAGATGGAACAGATGGAGATTAGTCCACACAGGGGGTAGAAGGGAGTGAGATGGAACAGATGGAGATTAGTCCACACACGATGTAGAAGGGAGTTGGAACAGATGGAGATTAGTCCACACACAGTGTAGAAGGGAGTGAGATGGAACAGATGGAGATTAGTCCACACAGGGGGTAGAAGGGAGTGAGATGGAACAGATGGAGATTAGTCCACACACGGGTAGAAGGGAGTGAGGTGGAACAGATGGAGATTAGTCCACACACGGGTAGAAGGGAGTGAGATGGAACAGATGGAGATTAGTCCACCCACGGGTAGAAGGGAGTGAGATGGAACAGATAGAGATTAGTCCACACACGGTGTTAGAAGGGAGTGAGATGGAACAGATGGAGATTAGTCCACCCACGTGGTAGAAGGGAGTGAGATGGAACAGATGGAGATTAGTCCACACACGGT